CCCCGCCCCGCATGTTCCCACCCCAACTGGGCATCCCTACGGGTGCCTCCCCAACCGAGTGTTGTTCCTCCTCCTCCGCCTTCCGCCCTTCCTCCTCCAGAGGGGAGGCGGTGACTGATACCGCAGAGGTGGAGATGAGTGGCCTCCTTCCAAGGGGCTCTCGCAGGGGGAGCGGATCTGGTTCCTCGGGAGCCCCCGCGCAGGGGCTTCTGGGTTGAGGAGACCTGGGAAGCGTGGGGGTGGCTCAGCGCCCCCGCGCCGGGCCTGGCTCGCTGGGGGCCTGGAACGCTGCCCCAAGCACGCCCTGCCCCCACTTCCGCCCAGGGCATCTGGCCCACACCTGGCTTCCATTAGAACCGCTGCTGTTGCCGCTGGCGCCTGAGTCCGGTGTGCACCGGTGGTGGGAACCCTAGGGGAGAAGTCTGCCTGACACCCTCCTTCTAGGCTTGTGGAGCCTTTGGCGGCAGGGACTCCGGGTGGGGTGCCCAGGGATAGGCACTCTCTCCCCTCCCCTCAGGTCCCAGGGCCCTTCTTGAGTCTCATGTTGCCCTTCTGGAACTTGGAGAGGGGGTGGAAAGGGTCAGAGGGCCGTCTGCCACTGACACCCGAGGAACTTGCATCTGGCTACCTAAGCTTGGGGGGAGGGGAGTCTTGAGAAGACCCCTGCTGTTCACCCCCCTACTTTCTTTCAACTTCCGTTTATGCCCACTCACCATGGTCCAGTCCTAGTCTGACCCCAGCACCCTTGGCCCCCTGCTGCCCATATCCCAACCAGGCTAGCCAAAGGCCCAGGCCCAGGAGGAAGCCACTCACCTCAGGGGCTGGTCTGGGCAGAAGTGTCTGGGTCTGGCCGGCACAGGGCCTGGCTGAGGGGGGAGTGGACAGTAAGGGTCTTACCATTTTGTGGGAGAAAGTTCCTGGCCCTGAGGAAGGCACCCAGAGCAGCTACCCGACCCAACAGGAAGTGTTGCCATGGGGATGAAGCTGGGGCTTTGGCTGCTGCCCTGGAATGCTGGGTATGCGCCTGTGTCCCAGCCGCCCTGTGCTCTCCTCCTCTGCTCTCTCAGCCAGGTGTCAGGGAGAGGGGGCTCCCCCATGCACAGAGTACCCTCTGCTACTGTGTCGTTCCCTCACCCCATGTAGAACCTGAGACCCTCTCTCTTGGAGACACAACCCTGCATCCTCCCACGCACCCCACCACCTCTGCAATACAGCGTGCCATGTTCTGGTTCCAGGGGCAGCCTTGAAAATGAGGTTCTGAGATGCCTGTGGACCCAGGGGAGGAACTCTCCACGTTTGAAACTGGAAACCACTCCAGGGGTCTGTTGATGAGGGGGTGCAGTGCACCCCTGTGCTGGCAGCTTCCCAGTGGGCCTCAGGGCAAACCCAGTGTTACCTACAGCCATAGCTCCCACCTGCTCTCAACCTCCCCTTGCCCACTCTGCCTGGGGTCCTGGAAGGTGGATGTGAGCTATGGGACCAGTATCAGCCCATCCTGTAGCACCCTGTTTTGCGCTGTCTGCATGCCCTGGGCCAGGTGAGAGTCGGGGAGAGAGAGAGAGAGCATGCGAGGGTATGCCCTCGCCCACCTCTCCGGTGGGCCGTGGCGTGTGGCTTTGGGCAGGCCACCCCTCTCTGTGTGTCTGCCTGGCTCTTCCTGTGCCAGCAGAGAACGGGAACAGCTGGGAGGTTGCTCAGGAGGCTCCAGGGTTTTTTCGTTGTTCATTTTTAAGGCACTTTTTATTGGGGAGAAATAATGTATCATCAGCCATTTTCCATTGTAATCATTTTGGGCATGCACAATTCAGTGACATGAATTACACTGTTGTAGGGCCATCGCCACTGCTTCCAATTTTTTTTTTTTTCCGTCACCCTGAACAAAAAGTCATTACCCCTGAAGCAATCTCTCTCCATTTCTCCCTCGCATCTACTCCTGGTAACCACTGATAAACTTTGGTTTCTATGTATTTGCCTAGTCTAAATATTTCAAGTAAGTGGGATCATGCAATAATTGTCCTTTCCAGATTTTTTTAAAATTGGAAACTTTTATTCATGTAGTTTTGGAACCATGGCATGCATGTTGTTGTCTGCTGTTAAGTAGATTCCAACCCGTGGCGACCCCACGTGACAGCAGAACTGCCCCATAAGGTTTTCTAGCTTGTGACAGTTACAGGAGCAGATGGCCAGTCCTTTCTCCCATGGGGGCGCAGCTTGGTTCCCAATTGTTGACCTTGCTTCCATTCATAAGCAAGCCCTCAGCTGTTGTGCCACTAGGACTCCCAGCCCCCAGCTGCCTTGCTGGGAGGCTTAAGACAGGCAGCATCCTCTGTCTGGGTCTCTGCGTCTCCTTACATGAGATAGGAAGGTGGGAGACGTGGCCAAGGCAGGTTCTGCCCCGCAGCTGTGCCAGGGCAGGAAAAGTACAGGATTGCAGAGCCAGCCTCTATGCCCCTCCAGCCTCTGACTCTCACACCTACCAGGCCATCTAGCTTTAAGGCAACTGTTTCATTTCAGAGAGGTTCCTCCTGCACCCTTCTGTCTCCTTCAGTAATACTGCTATTGTACCCTTTCACTAACCCCCCTGCCACTGCATCAGTTCAGACTCTCGGTGACCCTGTAGGGCAGAGGAGAACTGTCTTGTGGGTTTCCATGGCTGTAAATCTTCACAGGAGCAGAAAGCCTCCTCTTTCTCCCTCGTAATTGTTGGTGGTTTCAAACTGCTGACCTTTAAGTTAGCAGTTTCAGCTCATAGCCCACTACCCCACCAGGGCTCCTTATCTTGTCCATCAGAAAAACTAAACTCACTGCCTTTGAGTTGATTCTAACGCATAGCAACCCTATGGGACAGGATGGAACTACCCCTGTGGGTTTCTAAGACTAACTCTTTCTAGGAGTAGAAAGCCACCTCTTTCTCCTACAGAGCGGCTGGTGGATTCAAACTGCCAACCTTATAGTGAGCAACCCAGTGTGCCACCCACTGTGCCCAGGGCTCCATACGCTGTCTGTCATCTTTGAAAATGCACTTATGGAATGTGCAGGCACTGTCTGAGCGCCCTGTGTTAACTCTTCCCAACAACCCCTGTCCCTCCCGGAGAGCTGCCCTGTGTTTGTCCAGGGAGTGTTTGATGTGTGGCCACGTGGTATAGCCGCCCATCTGCGATGCTGCCTTCTGAAGGGAGTATCTACACACCAACCAAGGGTGAGGGGCAAGGGGCTGCATGATGCTTCTCAGCAACTCCCGGCTGTGGGCGGGGCAGAGCTGGCCTGTGGCCTGACCCTTGCCCTGGCCCCTGGCCCCTCCCAAGTGTCCCCAACTTCCTGTGCTGGCTGAGCCCGGGTGGGAAGGAAAGGGTGAGAAAAGCCCCTTGAACGTCACGGAACCATTTCCGATGGTCTCCCACGCTGGGGTCGGCCTCTGCGGGGGCCGGGGCGGGGGCCCCAGGCCAGCTCCTCAAAGGCGTCCCCCCCCCACACACCATTCATTCCTAAGGAGACCGTGGGAAGCTTGGAGGAAGCTGGCCACAGTTTGGGGTGAGCTATTTTTGGTAGCAGGGTCCCTCATCTCAGGCTCCAGGGGCCAGGGTGGATGGGAGGGGGCTGTGTGCATTTCCTCCCGTCCCCCCTCAGCACCCCAGCAGAGATCCCAGGAGACCTGGCAGCCTGCCCTTGCCCCCAGGCAGAACTCCCCATCCTTTCAGTGAGGAGGTGGGGGTGTGACCACGTAACCTTCCTGCTGGCAGCCCCAGCTTCCTCGGATGTCAGGAGGGGGCGCGCTTGGCCCTCTTGGGGGACCGTGCCCCAGAGTCTGGCCCAGGCCCCTTGCCAGGGGTGGGTGGTGACAGCGACATGCACAATCCCTCAGTCTAATCTGTGACACTTTGCTGCTGCTCGTGGACTCAGCTGTCAAACAGGGCACCCCTCATTGATACCAGGCTCAGATGCCCACATGATGCCCCCTCACCTGAGGGGTTCTCCTGGGCCACCTGCAGAGGAAGGCTACCTTGAGCCCCAGCCCTGGGGAGTAGGGCCTTGGAGGTGAGCCGGGCATTGCCAACGGACACATCCCCAGAAACCCAAGCCCCTGCCATCGAATCTACTGGAAAGACTAGACTTGCCCCCATGTGATCTCCAATGCTGTGAATCTACAGAAGCTGCCAGCCACACCTTTCTTCCTCAGGCAACTGATGGGCTTAAACTGCAGACCTCTCCCTTAGCGACTGAGTGCTTAACCACTGTGCCACCAGGACTCCATGATAGACACTTGGGTGGTGGCCAGGTCCGTCCTCTGTGGCTAGAGGACCCCCCACCCCCACCCCTGAGGCAGGGCAGGGGCTCACCCTGGTGGCTGTGAGTTCTCACTTGGCCCAGCCTCCAGTGCTTCCAAGGGGAAGCCTTACCCACCCCTTGCTTTGGGGGTGCCTGGATGGGTGGGCAGCAGAACTCCCCAGTTTGAGGTCCACCCAGCAGGCCCATCATTGCCCATGGGGATGCGGTGGGTTCAGAACCATCTCTTCCTCCCAGAGTACACAGGCCCATGAGAACTGCAGAGCCAGCCAGCTCGTGTGGACAGGCATCCAGGAGCACCTCATATCTACGGGGTCCAGCCAGGTAAGCCCCCATGTTGCACACGATGAGGGTGGGGAGGGTGGCAGGGGAGGTAGGGTTGGTGGCCAGTCTCAGGCCTGTCCATATACGGCCTGGCCACACAGCCGGGTCTCTGGGGACCAGCGGCTGCTGCAAACGGGTACATTCCATCTGCAGTAGCTCAGCCTGACCCTGGGGGCTGTCGCAGCCCCACAGGGACCAGAGTCCATGGAGGGCCTCGCCTTTAGTCTCCTCACCTAAGGGCTCTTAAAGGAGCAGAAGGTGATCATACAAGTTCATCCCCAGTACAGGCTCCTTGCCTCTGACTCTGGCTTCTAGGCACGGCAGACCCTCCCTGTCCCCAAGTCTAAGGCGACCAGATTTTAACATTGATAAAGCAGGACACCGTTGATAAAACTCATATCCTGGCGAAATAGCCACATGGCAGCCGAAAAGCATATACCCTAGCTTGTTGTGCATTCTTTCCAAAAATTGGGACTTTTTAAAAACGCCGCGGGACGTGGGGAAAATTGTTAAAAATCGAAACTGTCCCGCCAAAAGCGGGACATCTGGTCACCTTACCCAAGTCCCTCCCTCGGCCCCTCTACACCCCTCTGTGTCCCCTGTTATAGATGCGGGAACGGGAGGTCAAGCTCTGGGACACTCGACAGCTGTCCAGCGCCCTGGACACCGTCACCCTGGACACCTCACCAGGGTAGGAGCCCCTGGGTGTTGGGGCAGGGATGGGAGGTCCCAGAGGGTATCTGACACCACTCAGGTGGGCCGACCTACTGGGAGGGTTTTCCAGAGGGGTTTGTCCTGGTGCCCAATGAGCTAGGGTGGGGATGAGGCTCTCATGGCAGGGGGGCCCACCCTTCCGCATCCCATGTGGTTGGGAGAGCATGTTTTGAACTTGGGGACCCACACTGAACCACCGAGGCTGGCACGCAGTACATGTTGGCATTTGGGGAGGGGAGGAGGCTGCAGCCTGTCAGGCGTGGGCCTGGTGGTGTGGGTGCACATTTGCCATAGCTGCAGTGTGTTGGCTAGGGACCTGACGAGACCATGACTTCGAGGGCAGAGGGTGTGGAGCAGGTGTGGCAAGAGGGGGCCTATGCCACACTTCCCTGTGTGTGTGTGTGTGTGTGTGTGTGTGTGTGTGTGAGGCAGCACTGGTTGGTGGGGCCAAGCAAACTTCTCCCACTCTCGGATCCACTCCCTGGAGCATGTGAGTGAGTCGCCTGTGGGGTGGGCTGTCAGGGCCTGGGAACCCATCCTCTTCAGCCCCCTCAGCAGCCCATTACAGCAGAGGAAACTGCGGCTGGCAGACAGTCAAGACCTGCCAGGCCCTGTTCTGACATCACAAGCCTGCTGTGGCTGGGGTACAGGGGCGGGGCAGCATGGGGCTCTGCCAGGCTGGACTCAGGGTCTGGGGCTGGTGGGCCAGGAAAGGGCCCAGGTGGCTCACCAGCCCTGACTCCCATATCATAACCTCCGCACCTCCCCAAACTCTAGGAGTAGCGAGGGCAGAGCTTCTGGGGGCAGTAGTTAAGGGCCTGTCTGCTTAGAGCCCCCAGAGGCAGGACAGCAGTCAGGGCAAAGGTGGTCTCTCCTGGGCAGCTGGAGAGATCCATTTTACACATGAGTCCACCGGGGCCGAGCAGGGTGATTCTCCCCCTGCTGCCCTAGGCCTGGCTGGGGATCTGTACAGACGATCCTGCCCAGGAGGCCCTGGTCCATGGCAGAGTGCAGTGGGCTCTGCGTGCCTTGAGGCTGTGCCCAGACTTGGTGTGTTCCCCAGCCCCCCTCACCCCATCCCAGTGTGGCTAGCTCACAGAAGGCAGCATAGCCCACGCACCACTTCCTGCCCTGAGGCCCCGCCCCACCCGTGCTGGGGCTCCCCTCCCCTGCCAGGACAGCCCATCCCAGTGTGACCCCTGTAGGGGTTAATGATGCACAGCCCCCAAGGTGCCACTAGCCAAGGCTGACCCTGTAATTTTGGCAGTTAAGAATAGCCAGCCCTGTAGGACCAGCAAGGCCTGGAATTTCTCAAATTGCTCCCAGATGGGTAGGCAGGCCAACATCCCCACACCCCCAGCCTGGCCCCTGGCAGGGGAGCTGGGACCTTCCAGCCTTCCTCTAAACTGCTGGGTGCCAAGGGCGTGTGCTCATGTCCCTGCTGGCCTGACCAGTGCCACATCACCCGGCCCCCTCCCACAGGGCTGAGCCTCCTGTGGTATGGTATGGGGCCCTCCAGGCCATCTGGACTGAAGCAGGGATATGGACTGAGGGGCACAGCACTGTAGGGGAGGAGCTGGCCACTGTCCCTGTCCCCACCCCTCCCGCCCATTCAGTCTCCTCTTTATGTATTTTCCATCTCAGTTTAGGCAGATTGGCCTGTGCATGGATAAGAGCAAGAGTGGGCCAGGGTCAAAGAGTGTCCGGGGCGACCCCGTGTTCTCCACTCTCCGAGAAGCCTCTTGCCAACCCCATTCACTCCACAGGAGACTGGCCACAGTGGCCCACCCCAGGGCTTCAAGTTCCTATGCCGTGTTCCAGGGCCGGTGCTGGCTGGGGGAGACCAGAGGGCTGAGCTGAGAGGCAACGCCTCTGCTTCTAGGCATTCATTCAGAATGTGTTCGTGAACTTCGTGGGTGTGTGCATTTAAGTGTGCAAGACTGTTAAGAGTAAGCATTGCAGGGTTTTATCTTAGTGAACAGTTGAGGTGTGAGAGTAGTTGTACAATAGTGTGTGTGAACGTTAGTTGGCTGTGTGTGAGATGGTGTGCATGTTAGTGTGCTGTGTGTGAGTGTACATGCTAATGTGGAGAATGGATAGTGTGTGCGTGTGTGCGCGTGCACATGGGGGACGCATGAGTGTGTTGT